CGTCAAGTGGAGACCGTTCTAAACATTAACCGTTTTGTTATTAGGTTAATTCAATCTTTTATCACTTGCCCTGAGCAAATCGTTTATTCGGGCTTTTGTTATTAATTTGGCATATTGAATTAATAGAACCACTTAAGACATTCTTTTGTATTCGCAAGGCGAATCTAGGACCGGAATTTTTCGAGTTTGTTTTGTATTTGTAATTGGCATGTTAATCAATCATATAAAAAACGGTTTGTACCTAAATTTCAGTGACATGAAATGTCCAATCTGACTAAAGTTCAGATCTACTTATTTCTTTTATGTAGATCTGATGACGACCGTATATGTTTCGCCTTTCTTTATAATGAGGAGCTATTTTAGATATTTAATCAAACCATTTTTTTACAGATAGGCATTAGAAGAAGTATCAAAATATTGTAATCCGTGGAAGTTAAACACATTTTTGATTTTTGTTAGAACACAAAATGTTTGAAGAAATCTTTAATAAATAAACTTGAAATGGTAGAGTTAAGTTTTAATGGGCAAGATTGTTTGGCCAGTTTACCTGTCGGCTTTGTGGACAACAACGCTATGTTTGTTCTCGAAATCGTGAAAATTACCTACTCAGTATTGGTTTTCACAGGGTTAAAATTAGAAACCGCATCGCTTTCAAATTTATGTAAGCTCGCCGATGATTTGCTGTGTGAAAGGTCACCAGCATTGACTTTCGTATATGGTCAGAAGCAAATAGTTATATATTGTTATTTAAGACATATTTACTCTCATACTGCAATGCTTACCTCTTCAATTTTACTGGAGACGTCTTCAGTCCTTTCCACAGTGTTGAGCATGATTGCTGGCGAGATCCAACACTTTTGTGAAATTTGAAACTAGTCCTTTACAAGGAGTTTTGTTTTGAGGATGGTGTATCTGGCCAACATTTGTAATCTGGTTATCTTTTACTTTGTATTACAAAATAATTGGACATTAACAGTGTATGTCATTTGCACAGCTCAGTTATTTTTTAGATATGATCATTCCTTAATCCAAATTAGTAAAGGTCGCGCAGAATCAGCTTTTCCATGCATGATTGTTTTAAATATGGCAAAAAACAAGAATAAAGATCAACAAGGCAAAAGCAACGTTCACAGGATGCAGCCCCCTTACACACCCAAGCAGGGCACCCACAAGGCACCAAATCAAAACCGAGAGTGGGCACAACCAGTCGCGCAACAAGACGTCGCGCAAACAAAATACATATTTCAGTCCTTCAGCAACACCAATGTTGTTGACTTAATATTAGATTTTATGAATGATATTGCGTACAGCTTTATCTATACACAGATTACTTGGTTCAAATGTTGAGCTATATTTTATACAGCTAGAAAAGGGATGTTCTCATTTTTTTTCTGCTGTTTATATTTTTAAAAAATTGTCAATCAATTAAGTAAATCAATATTGTATACCATAAATAGTACAAATATATTTACATTTTGCAAGTGTTGCACTAAGTTGCATGGTTGAACAAATAATTATGCTATTGAGTAATGATGTATACCTTTACCACTTGTGTGCCAATTTGAACATTATTAGGGCATGTCAGCGCACGACATCCACTCAGGTCGCGCAAGTAGTCGCGCTACTTGGTCGCGCGCCATTCTACTTTTGCACACCACGCTAGCTACATGCGCAAACAAAAGGGTATATAATCTCCAAATTTTCTAATTGTTTGGGTTCTCTGAGTTAATTGAAGTTGAAGAGATGTTGTTGTTGCGTTAAACTTTTAATTTGCTTTCTTTAAGGCTGTTGACTGAATATAATTATGATGCATAAGTTTATTTCAATTGATCAATCAGAAGTTCTTTACTCCCTGTCATTTGAACAATTAAACAAATCTTCAACAGCTGCAGACCTCTCGCATGCTTCTTTTTAAAGAAGCAAACTTGTCATCTATTAAGGCAACTTTGACATGTTTCATCAAATGAAATCATCAGATAACAGAAATCCACCGTAATTCATTACTTTATGCAACAGAGATTTATTTGATTATATGTCATTAGATTTAGACGCAACGTATGTCACTTCAAATCAAGTTGGTTTAAATTAATAGATTTTATCCAACTCCTTTGAGTGATGTTGTGATTCTGCTGCAGTTTGTGTGTGTTCATGAAAATTAAACTGCCTCAAAACAAAATTAAATCACTCAGTGGAACTCTTTATCTAATAAGAAAATCTTTCATAGATGTGTAACCTTGTGGTATACGACATCTATTCAGCATTGTTTATTTAAATTGTATTAACGGCAAGCGAATTATAACATACCATGGTAGAATTAATTTAAAAGTACAACTACAGACCTGCATATTTAACAGGGTTATGATGTATAGCATCACTTATTTAACTCAATTTCTCAATCTAATTGATACTTGTTGTTAATGATATTCTTATTTACATCGCATCTGTACATTTGCCAAATTTTACTCATATTATGGATACTCAAAAGCATCTTTCATGAAAATATTGATACTATATCCTAACCCCGCTTCTACTGATTTCCATTAAAACAAACCAAGAATGGCGTAACAAAACGTAGAAACCAGTGTGGAATTCAGGACACAAAACATAGAAAACAAATATAAAAGGAATCCCTGAAGAGTATCCATGAAGGAAGTCTTTTTCGCTTAAATGATATTCGTATCATTTATACAATTTCATGATATTATGGATACTTTAACGACTATGATGATACAATATAATCCAATCAATTAAAATTATCATAATATTTTCATGAATATATTGTAAACAAAGAAAGGGCTCTTTATATGTTTTGTCTTTTCTTAATACAAATGTAAGATCCAGTCGTGATTCAAAAGGATTTGTCTCGAATCACTAAGCGTCAGATGGTCATTATGCTTGATTGGGCATTCTTTTGATAAAACTCAACTAGGAAAGTGTCCCGGATAATGTCCCATTGTCGAAATAATAAGATAAGTCTATAGAAATCAAATAGATACTCCCTCCGTTTCCGTATAATTTACAAGAAGATAAATAGACGAATTGATGGCATTCTAGGAAAAATTGAATGATTTCTTCAAATGCTATACACGCGGCATTATGTACCTGATTAAAATTCTTCCCTGAATCGTTTGACATACCGGTTGTTTTATATATTTTCGTAATATGATATCCATATGCAAATCTTGAAAAATAACATATAACATTGTGTTAATAAATGAAGCTAAAAATACATTTAGTCATTATTATTCCACACGGGTATTACATTATTTTAAAAGCCATAACTTACAAAAATCATATAGTCCATTTAGTACCTCATATACATCACTCAACATTGTGTATCAACTCGTTTTTAAAATGTACAACATGCCGTTACAGCCTGTAAACATGGTGGTCATGTCAACTATCAAACAAATCCAAGTAATAATTACCAAATATGTAAGTAAGACATGTAACCTTTAACTATGAAAATACACGACGTCACAGTATATCACTGAAGTATATCACTGAACATTATTGATCACATATATGTTGTAATACAAACAGAAAAGCTAATAATCTGATTACTGATAAGGAAATATATTTGTCTAACTTTGGAAATGCAATGTTTTAGAAGTATTCCATTTTTCAGATATCAATTTATACTTTGAAGTATTTTATCGTACATTCAGAATAATTTTTTTAAGAAGGAAAATGAAGAAAAACATCTTTTAAAACTTAGCTTTGTAATATCTTAAAAATGTATAATGTATTATATCGAACTACTATTTTGTCTGCCTTTATACTTCTATAACATGGACTGCAATTAATTGAAGTTAAAAGATATAAAAGTGTAAGAAGACAATATCGTATTGACATTCAATCATCTTGTCGGTCATTAATTGGAATACATCTTAAGACGTCCTTCAACCTGATTATAATGCGGCTTTCTTGATAAGATACGAATATAACAGCTAACAAGACGGGGAAGTAGCTATCATATGACATTGTATACATATACATGTATTTTATATACTGGTATTTTTGAGAACATTACTTGCAACAGGTACTGCTTTATCGCTATATTTATTTAATATGCTACATTATATCCTAATAGGCTTATCATTGATCTATGTTTTTAACAATTTATAAAAGAAACTGAATACTTATTAAAGATATTCAATTACTGATCGCATGCATTTGTTTTGTTATTATAAGACTGTTTTTCTTTAAGTTTACAGCTAAAATTGATTTAGAGGTTGTCGTTTACCACTCTGCTATATATGAATGTTAAATTTGAGAATAAGAAAAAGGGAACACAAAAGACGTCCACGCTAATTGTAGAAATGAGAAGCAACAACACAGTCAATAATTAAAAAAGCATTTTTTCTAAAAAGTAAGTATACTATACATACATAACACTACATAAGGAAAATGAATTAATTCTGGGATGATAAATAACAGTTGTTTTTTTCTTCTTCATTTCAGATGCGGTTTCACCATATAACAGCTATATCTGTATAATTTTCTCTATATCTATGATTTAGCGTTAACTTTAATTGCAAACATTTTAATGTGTATTACAAACCATTTTGTAGCTTATTTTTGTTTAACATGTAAGAATATAATTCAATAAGGAAATTCTATCTAGCTCATCAAACACTGAGAACGCAGAAAAACTTATAATTTATAACAATTATACAGATATATGCAGTTAAAACTTCTGAAACAAGACTCGATCTTAGAATACTAGAACTAAGAAGTGGAAATCTGTTTATTAATCAGGCCAAACTTGGAGTTGTATTTAATCATCTTTTTACTATGTTTTCAATAGAAATAAGTGTACATTGTATTACGATATTGAACGCGGGTACATTCAGTCACGCATTATTAATACTCTTTTATACCTTTTAACAAACACAATAGTCTGTTATTAAGTTGATGTCAATGCTATTACTATTTTTACGTAATTTTAACAGACGCATTGTAAATTATTTTGTCAGTGAACTTAAAACATTATATACCTGTGTGAAATAGACTTATATATCATAAGACAACAGATGCCTGTAGTAGTTTTAACCATTTCCATATTTCTATATTACCTTATGGAACAAAGAAAAATAAATTTATCTGATCTGTTTAGAAGATAATGGTAAGGACAAAAGAACAATTTCCGGTCAATGATTTGCTTCGTGAATATTAAGTGAATGCTTACTTAAGTAAAAGAAATCAATTGTTCATAGTTTCTGTCTTGTAACTTCAAGTGTATTGAATATACAATTCTTTTTAAACGTAGGAATAAAAAAAAACACCTTCACTTTCTTATCACCGTTTAAAGACATTTCATATAAAATGAGCTCAAAAGCGAGGCTCAAAAGCCTCAACACGTAAAACTTAAGCTTTTTACATAGATCAACTGCAACACATAAAACGAAATAATATGCAAAATATTACGTACATAAAAACAAACTGAAAATCAATTTTTTGTTTTTAGAAAATCATCAGCCCGTTTTGAGTTAAATGCATTTAAATGCTTTTCATTTTTGTCTCATTTTGTATGACTAAAATGATTAACCTGGTAAAATGAAGAGCGAATGATCTGAAACTTGACAAAAAGTTATTGGTTTAGACATACATTAAATGATTCATAAACGTCGAAAAAAAAACTTCGGCACCGGTTTGTGCTTAAACCTAAATGAAATTCCTTAAAGTTATATTCAATTGTGTATATGTATCCTTTTGACCTGCATATTTTTCCTATTGAACATAGAAATACCGAAAGTTTGTGTAAATATGAAATAAAATCTCTGTTGATATTCTGTATTTTAACATTTGACATCACCAATAAAATGTGACGCGCTGAAAATAAGATGGAAGCAAGTCGTGATGGATTACTTTATTTAACGAATATGTTTATCTTACAGAATTATAAGCATAATTAATATAGTTGAGCCTTCAGCCATTCTCAAAAAGTCCACATCATTACTTCAACGTCTTTTTGATATTTCTAAAAAATAACAATCAGTTATGAATATTACATTCCACCAGTTATAAACAGCTATCCTTATGTCCAGGAACACTTCTTGATTTATTCTTCGTTATAAATTTATTTGGCCGAAGTCCAAAATAAATGCCATAAGAGCAGCGTCTTTTAATGCATTCAACTTTTATAAAATTAGTGACAAAACCGTTTTTGTTCTCTTGACGTTATTATATTTTATAACAAGCAGACAACGTATAATAAATAGGGTTGTATATTTTTAAATCACTTAACTTAATTACTTATTGTTTTAATATTGTCAAACTGTCCACGTTAACATGGATAAGGATAAATGTGTATAAAACAATTATACTTTAAATTCCTCCATTTCTAAACCGTTGACTATATTTTTTTATCTTATTTTAAATGATACAAACCATAATCTGTATGAAAGAAATCCTGAAATAATAGATGCCATTTGCATACGGTTAAGAAACAACTGTAAAACACTATTTGTTTCGCAAAGCAATCTCCTTTGAAAAGTACCTCTCTTTTTGAGTGCATATTTCTCGACAAACGTGTAACACGTCAAGAGAACATACTGATCATCGTTTCGAGGCAAAATGAAATATAGCGGACAAGTAATAAAAACAACCGTTAGATCTTATTAATACTGTTGTCGAAATGTATTTCACATTTAGTATTCAGTATTTACAATATGTTAAATATTGATTTTGAGTTTGATGAAAAGTTACCATTCTCTTTGCCGTTAAATCAACAAAAAGATAAAATTAGTTTACAATGCGACAACATTGAGGAAGGATGTCAGTTTGTCTCCATTAACCTACATTTCAATAGGCATGCATTTTTATCGTTAGTTTTGAAATTACATAGAAACATCATATGTTTGTGTATTTCAATACAGACACAGCACACACAGTGGGAAATCAACTTACCCGTCCTTTTACTATTGGTAGCAAAAAAACTATCAATTTTAAAAAAAAAATCAAGTAAATCTATTATTTCTTCCAGAGAACTCTTTTTAGAATTAAATTTAAAAAATATCATCATTGTTATAGAAATTCTTTTCTTTTTTCACAATTGAACGTGTAATCTAAGAATTTGTTTAAAATTAACAAATACGTTCTTTAAACTTCAAAGATACATATTTGCATATGCATTAATTCTTGAAAACAAAACCACATACATGTTTTAATCTAAAATCAAGTTTACGATATTTTCTCCAATATTTTATTTTTAAATGAAACAATAAATGAAGATGAAAAATAGAAATTAGACGTTAACTTTTTTGTACAACCAATTTAAGACATGTTTGTTTGCACTCCACATACAATGTAATACTCATGGGCAGACGCAATAAACGGTGTCTGTAATTTTCTGCTTTAATTTTTCTAGTTCCCTTTCTCATCTTTCCAGAATTCAAGACGTCACAACATTTGATGATGTGGGACTTAAAACCTTTTGGTACTTCGAGACTGTTGAATGCTACTCTATAGATGTTCAGCATAGAATATCGCTAAGGAAGGTGTTATGGGCATGAGAGACGTTGCATTTTACCGACCGACCGATTTAACCGATTCTGGATTTTCAGCACTATTTATTGTCTTTGTTGTCGTTACCTCCTTATAAAAAATATTTAAAAAATCAACAAGAAAGTGCGGCGTACAAAGAACGCCAACTGATATTTGCTATATATATGATAAGATATCAAATTACCAATAAATATTCATGACAAATTATATTTATTTCAAATACCAATTTCAAGGCAAGTTTCTACATACGTAATCGGGATTATAAGTTGAATGACGATTTACTAGCTTAGGTTCTTCCACATTTGTCCATATCAAATGCAGTTATAATTCTAAAAACAATATTTTCATACTATTGTTTAAGACATGAATCTATTCATGCATACTTTATACTTTAATACTTTAATGTTTACTTTTTCACACAAAAATAGCTTAAAAGTATTGTTGTCAAATTGTATGTTTTGGATCAGTTTAAGTATATCTTTTATGAAAATCAATGTGTATATGTGAGTCGATCCGGCTTACATCGGACATCGTCGTTCATCGGACACATTCACTCTGACGTAATTTTTAGAAGTTTTTCTCTACATACACACTGCTCTCGATGCTTCACTGTTTTCAGGAGACATACCGTAGAACTCGCCTTAAATGACGTAATTTTGTATCGGGATTATGATTGGTCAAAATAACGACTCTCTTTGATGTCACTTCCTTTTTGACGTCACAGAAGATATCAGAGCACTCAAAAAATTCGGTATCTAGGGATCTTTACTCTTTTTATTTTGTTATCTCTTAGAATTTAATCGAATAACTTCATAGCGATTAAATATGCATACATTTTGCAATTTGTAGGAGAAATCAATAAAAACAATGAAGTATTTTATAAATATTTGAACAATAAATCTGTCCGATATTACCCTCTCGGAAAAGTCACTATATTTTTGCCCACGGCTTACATCGGACAGTATGAAAATTCAGTAAATGCTTGATTAAAGTCTGAATACGTCCACACTTAAGACATCATATTCTAGCAAACGGACTTTCTAAAAAATAAAATCTATATCGATGTACGAGCTCTGTTTTGCGAAAACATCATTAAATATTGTAACACAAATAATTCATTAAAAAAAACCTAGCTCTGAATTTAAAGAAGAAAAGCAAGATCGTTTTTATCTCTTTTTTATTTAGAGAAAACTAGGTAATATGTGCGTTCGTAAAAAAATTGTACCGTCTACAGTAAGGGAACATTAGTCGCCACAGCTATGCTACAGTGTTGGTAAATAAATGTATTTCTGCAATAAAAGAAACTTTAAAAAGTAACATTACATGTAGGGCTTCTCTCCTTTAGGGTACAATGAATACACCCATTCTGATGCATGCTTTGAGGAAGCGAGAAGTGTTTGGCAGAACAAAAAACATAAACTTGAAAATCGAGGTATTAAATTGTCTTCAAAATCTTTATGAAAATGAATATATATATATGACCATGCGTACATATTTGACATAAAGGAGTATCTGATGCATAAAGTCCACGAAAGCTACATGTCTATGGTTTTCATTATGGAGTATTGCTGTTCGCAGATCAAAGATTCTTACTTATTAGAAATGAGTGACTATGTTACCGAAGAATCATTGTAAAATGATAAAAAATTAGCAGGGAAATATTTGTTTAATATTAAAGAGATTAAAATAAGAAAATTGCTTCTTGTTGTTTATACATATGCAAATACATGTACTATATAGAACTATAGATCTACAAACAATATTACCATGACCGTTAAACAATATATATAACTCAAAACAATCAATCATTACCACCAGCATTAGCAATCGTGATATTAACAATAATAATAATAATTGATATTACCATTATTATTATTATCATTATAATTATCATTAGATCTATACTTTTCCTTTGAAAAAGTTAAGAAAAACAAATAGTGGCTTTCACAGGCAGAGCTCATTTTTAAAGCCTGTATCAAACTGAACCGTCCTTGCTTTTGCAGATCATGCCGAACAAAACTAAAGGCATTCGATGCCAGTACGATCAAAAAGACCTAGAGAGAGCCGTTGCCTCAGTTAAAGTTAAACGCTTAAGTATAAGACAGGCGGCAAAAGAGTTTTCTATTCCGAAGTCTACGATAGCCGACCGAATATCAGGTAGAGTACATGAAGGCAGAACACCAGGCAATCAGCCAGTATTTCCTCTGGAAGTAGAGAATCAAATTTCAGATAAGATTAAAGCCGCCGCAAGACAAGGTTTTGGCATTACTCGTGCTCAGCTGTGCGTGAAAGTTGCACGGCTAGCACTTGTAATGAATTAACTCTGTTAGAGCCAGAATGCTTAACCCTCTAGTAACTCGAAATTACTTTTCCGAGTTAGATAAGGTTTTAAGAGACCTTAACTTGCATAGTATGCCGCATCGTATATGGAACATTGATGAGACCAATGTTTCACTTACACATAAACCAGCTAAAGTACTTGCTCAATCAGGGCAGAAAAATGTCCCGGGGCGTGTTAGGAACTGCCGAGATGGCTTAACGGTACTAGCCTGTGTC